AAAACACAACCATTTTGATATATCCCGTCAGGATTCTCAGGCGATACTTTCAAGCCCTTGCGTGTCCGTTAAGAATGTCTCTTTCCCCGCTAATTCGTCTCTAACTTCATGATGTAGTGTGCTTCTTGTGTTAAGTGCTTTATATATAGAATGGGTTATAAAGTAATTTATCTAATTGACGAATAATGTTGAAGTTCAAGAAGGTGTGTATTTATAGTTATTGTAGAGGGAATAACAGAGATGAGCAAGCCGCACAAAACCCAAATCCACAAACGGATTCTGCTTGTAGATTCCTCTTTTTAAAACGATATGTAATGGATAACAAGTTGTAGCTTCAGACATGGCAAGACAAGGAACTGTCGTAAATACCGGTGTGTTTCACTTCAACCACAGGTGTAAGTAAGCACAGGTGCAGAACTGAAAGCAAGAAAAGGACCCATATGGATCATGGCAAAGGGGGTGACCATATACATACATATATATATAGATTGTATTAGTATTAGTATATCAGTTTATTCTTATATTGATGTATGCATATAGTGATACACTAATGGGTTAATATTACTATATGTTGATATTCCATATATTGTATTGTCTAGCTGCTCTGAGAAGTTTCCTCTTACAATTTTATCTATAATATTCATGAGTCACGAACTTTCATTCCTACTATACAACAGCATGGAGGCATCTTCAGCACTACTTAGTTCTTGCGGAGATCACGCGTGGAAACCTTGCCGTTTCATCGAAGGGTCGCTCAGCTAGCAGCATGCTCCCGTTCTCAATTAAAAGCTGCGGTGTGCAGGAAGCCTTGGTGTTTGGGCGGACGGGGCTGTCATTCTGCAGAAGTTCGAAAACATCAACGCAGCCGCCGCAAAGTCTTCTCAGTCATATAGCCCATCAGGTCGCAGGGGCCCCAGGAGAGGTTCGCGCTCTCAGGCGTTTCAAGAGTTTACCTTGAATCGTGCGACATTCCCAAACGGCCCTTGTAGCTCTAAAAGGGCCCAAATATCCCTAAACCCTAAACCCTAAACCCTGAACCCGAAACCCTAAACCCTAAATATCCCAATCAAGGCACCGGGGCCCTCTTGGCGAGAAGTGATTGGGACGGACGACGATGAGGTGATGAAGCACAGCTCGGCTTAGCACGCGTCATGGAGATGCAGCCGTCCTCTGCGGACCTCCTTTGGATTGGTTTAAGGTTTAGGGTTTAGGGTTTAGGGTTTAGGATTTCGGGTTTCAGATTGGAGGCATCCATGGCATATCAAAATGGAGCTCACTCTTTGACCGGTCTTCTTTTAAACCTGGAGGCACCCTCCTTGGTGAAGTTTACGGTCACGTTCCACTTCAGACTGGAGAATCTCGAAACCCACCCGACGTCCTAATAGTTCCCTAAACCCTAAACCCTAAACCCTAAACCCTAAACCCTAAACCTATTTCGGAGAAGCCGTGCGACACGTACCTGTAAGTATCCGCAACTGGGACAAGCCGAGTATACTACTCCAAAAAAGGTACTACGTAGGAGCCTTCAGGTATCTTTTCATCGCTGTGAAAGGTAAAACATATGTTTCCTCCATATTCCAATAATTGGAACATCCACGTCCTGTAAACCTGAACCGACGCCCTGCAATTCCTCTGTGGTTTATGGGAGGCTTTCGGTTCCATCATATTTTTAACCCTAAACCCTAAACCCTAAACCCTAAATCAAATGCATTTTAACATGCAGGGGAAGCAGAAGTTTTCCTTCTGAAACTACACAAGTTAAAAGAGGATGCAGTGCCTTCCGATCAATGGGTAGGGAAACAACTATTTCCTTGTCATCTGAATAGGAATCCTCTCTCGAGGCCCAATAGCAACTCATGCGAAGTGCATATTGTTCTCATGCCTTTCCTGCCTTTTGCTTCCCTTTTGCTTAGTTTCGTTTCTTACTTTACTTTTCATTGCTGTTCATTTCTTTTCATTGCTTTTCATTACATTCTATTGCTTTTCATTACTTGTCCTTCCGTTCGTTCCATTACTTCCTTTCCTTCCTTTCCTTTCCTTTCCCTTCCTTTCCATTCCTTTCCATTCCTTTCCTTCCTGTCCTTCCTTTCCTTCCTTTCCTTCCTTTCCTTCCTTTCCTTGCTTTCCTTCCTTTCCTTCCTTTCCTTCCTTTCCTTCTTTTCCTTCCTTTCCTTCCTTTCCTTCCCTTCCCTTCCTTCCTTTCCGTCCTTTCCTTCCTCTCCTTCCTTTCCTTCCTTTCCTTCCTCTCCTTCATTTCCTTTCTTTCCTTCCTTTGCTTCCTTTCCTTCCTTTCCTTCCCTTCCTTCCCTTCCTTCCCTTACTTCCTTTCTTTTTCTGCCTTTCCTTCCTTTCCGCACTAAACCCCAACTTTCTGGACCCTTAAGCGCCACACCCTGCTGAAATAGTTGATACTTGAAGTCAGCAGGCAGAGTCGAGAATGAGCAAACGTCTGGGCTGTCTTGTTGTATGGTAAGGGGTCGAGCGTCTTATCAGCTATCTGCCATTTTGCAAAGATTCCTTCGACAAAGTTGCACAGGCTACTGCTTCGGAGGAGACGGGCAATTCGGGGGGCAGATAAACCCCAAACCCCAAGCCCAAAATCCAAAACCCAAAACCCCAAAACCCCAAAACCCCCAAAACCCTCAAACCCCAAAACCCCCAAACACAAACCTCTAAACCCAAATTCCTAAAACCCAAAACCCAAATCTCTAAACCCAAACCCCTACACCCAAAACACAAATACCTAAATTGAAAACCCAAACCCAATTCCCTAATCCCTAAAAACCTGAACCCCCAAAGGCAAAAGGCTCGCATGCGCGGGTTACAAAGAATGGGGTTGGCGATTCCGTCTAAAGCCTCAATCCCTTGATCTTCGCAAACCCCAGACTCCCGCAAAACCTGGGGGAACCTGAGCGAACCCACCTGGGGTTCGGGTTTCGCGTTTGGGGTTTGGGGTTTAAGGTTTGGGGTGCAAAGGGGACATCTTGGGAGAAGATGGCTCAAGCAAGATGGTCTTGACCCTTGAGAGTCAACCCCTGAACTCCGTAAGCCAACCCCTAAACCCCAAACCCTAAACCCTAAACCCTAGACCCTAAACCCTAGGCCCTGATTAAGTCCCTAAGCCCTCAACCCAAAACCCTGGGGGTGTAGGGCGGACCTCTGCCCATAAAGGCCGCGTCGAGTGATTCCGTCAAGGACAGCATGGCCCCCAGCTGATGGAGGAGCTAAGGCGCTGATCGAATGCACGGCCACCCTCCCGAGACAAAAATGGGCACCCTAAACCCTAAACCCTAAACCCTGAACCCTAAACCCTAAACCCTAAACCCCGAACCCTGAACCCTGAACCTTGTCGAAGGTCAGGGATCTGCATGCGATTTGCGTGAAAACCCATGTTCTGAGGCCCTGCAGCAAGCTCGACAGCTGCGGCGTGGGGTTTAGGGTTTAAGGTCTGGGGTTTGCGGTTGAAACCTTGAACCCTAAACCCTACACCCTAAACCCTAAACCCTAAACCCTATTTTGGGGGTCTAGGGCTTGGGGTTAAAGGTTCAAGGTGTGAATGGAACGGGGCTTCAGGCAGCATGTGCAGGATTCTTACAGGGCTCCGAACCTAGGTTTCTTTCTCGTATTCCCAAAGCCCCAATAGTTTATCAAAGCTGAAACTGGCTAGTGTAAGCCGAGCAGTCTACATGGTCCAGGGCTTCTATGGTACAGGATATAGGGTGTACGGTAATAACCTAGTGTTGGGTTTAGGGGGGTGAACCCTAAAGCCCCTATACACCCTAAACCCTATATGGTACAGGATCGTATAGGGTTTATGGGGTACTGGGTTTGGGGGGGGGGGGGGGGGTGAACCCTAAACCACTTACACCCTAAACCCGATATGGTACAGGATCGTATAGGTTTTAGGGGGTTGCGTTGCAGGGGCTTTAGCTTGAATGGTACTGTGGCCACAGTCCCTTCTCCGAGGCATCTCATCCTTGCGGTGTTGCTCCCTAAACCCTAAACCCTAAACCCTAAACTCTGAACCCTAAACCCTAAACCCTAAACCCTAAACCCTAAGCCCTAAACCCTTTAATACCTAAACAGTCCGCACTTGGGGCCATCGTGTTGTGGGTGTCTGGTTGGGTTTCAGGGTTTTGGGGCGTTGGCATTTTAGGGTTAAGGGCTAAATTAAACAAGAATGCTCACGCATCTTGATGTACCCATATAGCAACACAGGGGACCAGTCACTGTGGCAATCCGAGATCTCACGCGCTCCCACTGACAGGCTTAATAGCTCGATCGGCATTCTTGACCTTGTGCTCTTCTTGCGAGGTCGCCGTACTCTCTCTCTCTCTCTCTGTCGCTCTCGCTCTCGCTCTCGCTCTCTCTCTCTCTCTCTCTCTCGCTCTCGCTCTCGCTCTCCCTCTCGCTCTCTCTCTCTCTCCCTCCGTCTCTCTCTCTCTCTCTCTGCGAAGAGCAAGAGTCTTTACAACCTCTATCACAACGCCTCTACCTCTTACCCGCAACCAAAAAGCTATACGCCAACCGATCATATGTACATATATACAAATATGTATATATGGGGGTTTCCGACAATATGTAGGACCCCTTTATCCTGAGGACCCCGTAAGGACAGCCTTTTCGGTCCATGACACTCAACTTCCCAAGCTTCTGAGGCTCAGCCAGTGAACCTAGACCCTAAACCCTAAATCCTTCTCCCTTCTCGCCCCCCCAAAAAAAGGCAAACTCTAAACGCGCCCTGAAACCTAAGTACGCTAAATAAGCCTCCCAAACCCTAGACCCTAAACCCACGAGCCCCCAAATCCCCCTAAACCCAAAACAAACCTAAACCGTAAACCTTTAAACCCCAAGCCTTAAACCTTTAATCCCCAAACCCTAAACCCTAGGCCCTAAACCCTAAACCCTAAACCCTAAACCCTAAACCCTAAACCCTAAACCCTAAACCCTAAACCCTAAACCCTAAACCCTAAACCCTAAACCTGGCATCGGGCCCCAGCGGAGGTTCTCCGCCGACTTCGCGCGCCGGGCCGAGAGATTCGGCCGGAAGGTGCACTCGGCTACCTTTTGACTCCAGGGTTTAAGGGACTTTGGGGTTTAGGGTTTAGGGTTTAGGGTTTAGGGTTTAGGGTTTAGGGTTTAGGGTTTAGGGTTAAGGGCTTTGGGGCCGTAAAAAAGCCCCCAAAAACCCTCGAAGCCAAACTAAACACCCTAAAAGCCCTAAAAAGCCTTTGACATAGAGGATCTTAGTAGGGTTTAGGGTTTTAGGGTTGTGGGGTTTCGGGGTTTTAGGCTTTAGGCTTTAAGGGTTTAGGGTTTTGGGTGAGAAGTTGAGGAAATGAGAAAGCCCTAAAGCCTAAACCCTACAGAAAGGTTCATGCGCCCCGTGAATTCGGGGGTTCTGGGGCGCTCAGGGTTTGTGTGGGTGTATGGTTTGTGGTTTATGTTTCGGAGTTGTAGAGGGTTGAGGGCTTACTGGAAAATGTGAAGATTGAAAGATACTGCCGTATTCAAAGAACTTCCAAAAGGCTTGAACTCCATACCCAAATATAGATTTCACCTCCTTCTCTCCCCCCCCAGGCCATGAGCCCCAACAACGCATGAGGCTCTAAGAACGCTGCACACGAACACCTCCCCAAACCCTAAACCGTAAACACTAAACCCTAAACCCTAAGCCCTAAGCCCTATTAAACCGTAAACCGTAAACCCTAAACCCTAAGCCCTATAAACCCTAAACCCTAAACCCTATAAACCCTAAACCCTAAACCCTAAACCCTAAACCCTAAACCCTAAACCCTAAACCCTAAACCCTAAACCCTAAACCCTAAACCTTTTCCGGGTTTCGATGTTCATGTCGCAGTGTCTACGGGCCTCTTCAGCTTCGCGCTTCTCGCGAAGCCCTTGCCGACGCAGCTCGGCCTCGTCACGGCGTTCATGAAATGTTGCCGCATCTCTAGGGTTTAGGGTTTAGGGCTAGGGTTTAGGGTTTAGGGTTTAGGGTTTAGGGTTTAGGGTTTAGGGTTTAGGGTTTAGGGTTTAGGGTTTCGGGTTTCGGGTTTAAGGCTCAGGGTTTAGGGTTTAGGGTTTCCGGTTTAGGCTACCCCCCCCCCCCCCCCCCCCCCCCCCCAAAAAAAAAAAAAAAAAAAATCACAAGGGTTCGAATTGTCTTGGGTATCCCTCAACCGAGGATGCTGTGGATGTAAGAGGCGGGGTTTGCCGCCTAAACCTGAAGATCAGGCTTTCGGGCTTTCTGAGTGTTGAGGGTTTAGGGTTTAGGGTGCTTGCTTGATTGGAATTGAGGCCTCCGATTTGATGGAGGCTAAATAGGTGAGCATGCAGCCTCAAGATGTAGGAATGAACCTAATTGCTCTCTGCTCCCTTTCATGTTTGAGAACCCTAAACCCTAGACCCTAAACCCTAAACCCTAGACCTAAACCCTAAATCCAAAACCCTAGACCTACATATGCCTTGCAGAATCGGGGCACAAATTTTCTTTCTCAAGGTCATTACCTTGACCCAAAACCCAACACCCAACACCCAAAACCCAAAACCCTAAACCCTGCAGAAGCGTGTTGGGTGTCGGGTTGCCCTCGCATCTCAAGGATGCCAGACAAAAAGCAAGAGGGCTTGGGCTTTCGGCCTGGGAAGCTGCTGACACGCCCTCCCAAATAATATAGATCCAACCCCCCCCCCCCCCCCCCCCCCCCCCCCCCAAAAAAAAACTAAAGCCGCAAGTCGCAACAAAAGCCCCAAACGGTAAACAAACCCTACACCGCAGCTCTCCGCCAACTCTGTGTGCCTGGTGGTGGCGCCAGTACATCATCTCCACGTGCGCGTTCGCGCTAGGTGCAGCCTGTATGATAAATACGAAAAGAAACGAACACATCAGCAACACTATATATACATATATATATATAGAGAGGGAGAGACAGAGAGGGAGTAACATCCCTATCTATGTCTATATCTCTGTATGTGTATATATATATATATGTGTTCATCGCTACCTAGCCGATGTACCTACATTTTTTCACTGTTTTATAGAATAAAATATATTAAACAAAAATGAACGAACGACATATAAACATATGCGTATAATTAACAAAACAATCAATAAATAAAATACAAAAATATGAACAAATAAATAAACAGAAACAATACATTATTACATAAATTAATAAAAATAACTAAACAAATACGAAAATTATGTGTATATATATACACACATACATGCATACATATACACATATACGCACGCATATCATGCATGCCATAGTTGCATACTATAGTGTTCACGGAGTTGGGGTTCCGGGTTTGGGATTGCGGGGTTTAGGGAGTGTTCCGGCTTTGGCCTTGAGGGCCTTTTGCGAGGTTGAGGGCTTCAGTGCTTGCGGGCTCGTGAGTAGTTCCACCCTAAAACCCTCTATAAGTACAGTTTTATGGGCTGTAACTACTAATTAAGGGTAGCTACTGCTAAATTGTAGGTAAATAAAGTCACAGGTAAGTAGAGGCTTACAAGTTCCCCCCCAGGTAAAGGTTTCAAATCTATTCTATAGTTCCCTGCGCCATGGATGTCCCAGAAGGCCTGGCCTGAAACCCAAAACGCTGCCAAGCCCTAAATCCTAAACCCTACGCCCTAAACCCTAAACCCTAAACCCTACGCCCTAAACCCTAAACCCTAAACCCTAAACCCTCAACCCTCAACCCTCAACCCTCAACCCTAAACCCTAAACCCTAAACCCTAAACCCTAAACCCTAAACCCTAAACCCAATCTCACCCCTAGAGCGCCCCAAGCCCAAAACCCTACGGTTGTATACATCTAAGAAGACCCAAGCCCCAAACCCAAAACCCCGAACCAAAGAGCTCCCAGGGCTTGGGGTGTTGGTGTTATGGCGGTTTAGGGTTTAGGGTTTAGGCCGAGGAGCCCTGAGCACTGAAACCTAGCAATCAATCGGCTTGAGGGAGACCGTTTTGGGGGACACACCAGAAGGTAATGCCCCAAACCCTAAACCCTACACCCTAAACCCGAAACCCTAAACCCTAAACGGATGACCTTTGCAGGTAGGATACCCAAGGAAGAACCTGACCGGCTAAACGGGCGATAAATTACATCACTCATCCCACTGGTTCTTCGTAGGGAATGAGGGAATGAGGGCCCTATATAGTCCCTTAAAAGGGTATGTATGGGCCCTATATAATCCTTTATAGGGTATGTATAGGGCCGTATATAACCCCGTAAAGAGTGTTTTTAGGGCCCTCATTCCCTCATTCCCTACTAAGAACCAGCCAGGTCATAAGAACTGTAAGAAAGTCTAGAGAAGGGCCAGGTTGATGGTTGATTCAGGTTCAGGGGGTTTGGGGCTGCTGGGTTTCTGTAAATCTTATATGTATATATATATATATATACACAAAAATAAAAAACAGCTCCAAGCCCAGAACTCGTAGGGACTGCAGGATTTCAACTTGCCAACACTTCAGACCCTCCGGCCTTGGGGCTTTCGATCCCGAGCAGATCCTGCAGTTGACATGAGGGCATAGGGTTCAGAGAATTTGGGGTCTAGGGTCTAGGGTTCAGGGAGTTTATAGGGTCTATGAAGTGCAGGGTTCAGGGTTTCGGGGTGTTCGGACGGAATTCCCGTCACGAAGCGCGCGACAGGACCTACATCGAACAACGTCACGGCAAAACGAGGCAGCTCCTCTGAATCAGACTTACCATGCCTCCTGAATCCTGAACACCTTCAACTCAGCCAACATCCTAACAGGATAAAGCTCGAAGGAGATGTTCAGGGTTCACCCTCAACCCTAAAACCTAAACCGTTCATGGCTTTGCAGGCGTGGGCTCGTCTCAAGGTGTTTATCTTTTGCTTACGTGAAGGTTCATGGGTAGTTGGCCATGGGGGGGGGTTAGAGTTTAGGGTTTGGGGTTTGGGGTTGGGTTTAGGGTCGGGCGACTGTAGCTCTAGTTGTTGTAACATCTTTGGAGTGCTTAAATGTAATCCTACCTACATCTTTCCATGTACCTTCAAGGGCGTTGAGGACCGCATGAACTTTAAAACAGGGGGTCATATACCCTGTATTACTAGAAAACCCACTAAGGTACATGGACCATAACCCCTTCTAGGGTTCATTCGGTCCCCATGGAAGGTTAGGGTGGGAGGCAGGGTTCGAGTCATCTCCAGCTGATGACAATCCCCTGAGGATCCATACACTTGTATAACATTGATTTGGGCCCTAAAGCTTCTGTACGGAATTAAGACCCAGGTATGTACTATGCAGGTACATGGGCCCTTGGGGATCTAGAATCATGAGCCAGGCTCTCGTGATGAATGGACGGAACCCACGCGCTCTCACGATGAATGCGCAGCACTACCCAGCAGAATGGGTGGGGGGGTTCTGGTAGGGTAACTAAAGCTGTCGCCAGCTTGAAGCGTCTTTCCTTCGTATTACCCACTGGCAAGTTGCCTCTCAATAGGTTCATTCATGGACGAACTTTCATCGAGTACTTGTAACAATGGGCACTGACCCGATACCTCTGCAAGTTCCAGGAAAATTGGGGGCAAGGCAGTGCTTAAAAAAAGATGAGACCTGGGGAAAGAGAGAGAACCGCAGCAAACTCTTGTTTACAAAATCGGCCTCCACACCCCACAGGCGAGCTGTGTTTCTTTGGGATTTCAGGATAGTTGCAGAGCCTGCAACCGTACCCAACAACACGGTAGGTACTCATACCTCAAAGGGGGCATACAGTAGGTTTAGGGTTTAGGGTTTAGGGTTTAGGATTTAGGGTTTCGGGTTTAGGAGCTCGTCTTCCAGTTTAAAAAACCCGACGAAGGTACCTCCGAAACTTTTGGGATTGTTCCCCGATGTGGGGGTTTCCGACATTAGGGACACCTTCTTGGGGTCCTTATTTTATAGGGGAATCCTACTATTTCGCGGGGTCTATACTAGGGGTCCCCTAGTTTCGCAAACTGCCATGTTCTCTGGTACGGTCTCCTCACTGACGGCCTCCCGGTCAATCTCCTCCTCGTCAGGCGATCCAGACTTTCTTCGGCCAGAGTTGGGTTCTCGCAGCCTCTAAACGCCAAACCCTAAACCCTAAACCCCTAAACCCCTGAACCGTAGGTACGTCAAACTATGGCATAGCTACCCTTGTCTGGAAGTGATGGGTCATGGGACATTCGGGACTTTTGAGCCAAGTCACCTTAGGTTTTCGGCCCCACTATCGGGTGTAGGGATAGGGGTTGAGGCTAGGGTTTAGGGGTTCGACTTTAGGGTTCAGGGTTCAGGGTTTAGGGTTTAGGGTTAGGGTTTTGGGTTTTGGGCTCGCAGGACCGACGGAAGATCATAATCCCAGGACCGACGGAGCGAAGATCATAAAGGAGCAGCTGCAACGGTGGTAGTCATGAATGATCCGAAGCCCTAGGAATGGGATGATTCCCCTTATACTAACAGTCCTTAATGGGTTTAGGGTTTAGGGTCTAGGGCTTAGGGATTATAATAATTGCACCCTATTAGAATCCCTAGTAAGGACTGTTAGTATAAGGTATAAGGGATATCCCAATCCTAAGATTCACAGCGCCTTTCCAACATTACCCCTAAAAGGCTTACTGCCTTGGTAGCCCAGAAGCCAAATTATCGTAAGGGTACCCTTTGCGGGGTTGGCTACTTTCTGAGGGAACCTTGAACCCAAAGAAAGGGGGCAAAAGGGCACCACGAAGCTACCAAGTTGCGGTGAATGATCCTGAGCCCGAACAAAGATGCAAACCCTAACTAAACTCTAAACCCTGAACCCTAAACCCGAAACCCGAAACCCTAAACCCTAAACAAAAACAAGCCTATAATATTAACCCTAAAGCCCTTCTGGGCTTTGTTGCGGTCTGGAGCTCACTGCAGAGACACCCTTCAACTCGCAACCATGGTGCTCCCCCACTGAGAAGGCCACATGTTTGTGCATACCAATCCTGCAGACCCTAGGTCGACTCTAGGGAGCGTTTTAAGGTTTAGGGGTTGAAGGTTTAGGGGTTTAGGGTTTAGGGTTTAGGGTTCAGGGTTTGGGTTCAGGGTTTAGGGTATCTGGTCCAGGCAAGAAAACCCAATGCTTGAACGCGCGCAATAAATCTAAACCCGACAGGGGCAAAAGGAAGCCCTCAAAGCTTAACCCAAATTACATCCTGTAAACCCTAGACCAAAAACCCTAGACCCTAGACCCTAGACCCTAGACCCTAGACCCTAGACCCTAGACCCTAAACCCAAATTCCCTAGTTAAACCATAAACTCTAAACCCTAATCTAAACCCTTGTCCACGCCCCCTTGAGTCCTGCATCTTCTGCGCGGCGCGCTGTGCCAGCTTCCTGCTCGTGGCCGTGAGTGATGGCGATGACGGCCCCTCGCAGATGGAATCTACAAGGGTTTAGGGGTTAGGGTTTAGGGTTTAGGGTTTAGGGTATGCAGTTTAGGGTTCAGGGTTCAGGGTTTAGGGGTTGAGGGTTTAGGGTAAGGCTCTGACTCTGCAGTGATTGGCAGCTTCTGAGAAGGGTTTAGGGTTTAGGGTTTAGGGTTTAGGGTTTAGGGTTCAGGGTTTAGGGTTTAGGGTTTAGGGTTTAGGGTTTAGGGTTTAGGGTTTAGGGTTTAGGGTCTAGGGTCTAGGGATGGGAGGGGTAATCGTTTGTGGATTGGAAGGCTTTGGGGTGTCTCCTCTCTCAGTTTTTGTCCAAGGAGCCTACGAGACCCCCAAACGCCCCGCCTTGGGAATACTAAACTCTCAGGCTTACGCACATACTATAGGGGCCTTAATATAACTAGAATTAAATTTTCTGGGGGTTTACTTTTGTATAATAGTAAAGGGACCACAAGGGAAGACCATAAGTAACTACTCCGACCCCTATATTCAGCAGGGCCCTTGCTGCGATCAAGTGTGCTCCTAGGTGCTGCACACACTCACGCAACTCGAAACCCTAAACCCTAAACCCTAAACCCTAAACCCTAAACCCTAAACCCTAAACCCTAAACCTGTTTGACCTGCCAAAGGCTTGGCAGTGCGCAGAAGAGTACAGGTTCGGATGCTCCCCCTTGTACTTTAAGGTCCTTGATCGGGAATAGAAAACGGGGTACTATAATCCCTAGTAAGGACTGTTCGTATAGGGGGGAACATATTATAGGGTCGCCCAGTAACCTAGGATGAAAAAGGGTGCCCTTTTTTGCTTCAAAACCTAAACCTACCAAAAAGGGAATAAGGGTACTACTGGGCATCCTAGCTAGTAAGGACTGTTCGTATAAGGGGGAACATTTCCGAATTAGAGGGTCCTTAAGGGAGGGAAGTTCATGGGGGGTAGGTACCTGGCGAGCCTTAGGGAAGCTTAGGGAGCCTTGGGAGCAGCGGGGACTATTGAGGAACCTTGGGTTACATACCCCCCCCCCTGAAACCCCCTCCCTGAAGAACTCCACCCTAAACCCTAAACCCTAAACCCTAAACCCTAAACCCTAAACCCTAAACCCTAAACCCTAAACCCTAAACCCTCAACCCTCAACCCTCAACCCTCAACCGTAACCCCTAACCCTAAACCCTAAACCCTAAACCCTAAACCCTGAAGAAGCGTATAAAAAGAGTAGGGAGGTTGAAGTTCTTCGGCGTTGAACACTTGTCCCCCGGGGCAGAAATTCAGCGGTCCGACGTCTCTGCTGGGTTCCGATCATGGAGTTCAGGGTTTAGGGTTTAGGGTTCAGGGTTCAGGGTTCAGGGTTCAGGGTTATGGGTACCCCAAAGGTCTGCTATTTTGCTTGCGGGCTTGGGGTTTTGGGGTTCCCAAAATGCCCTAAACCCTAAACCCTGGCCCTAACCCCTAAACCCTAAGCCCTAAGCCCTAAACCCTGAACCCAAGGATCAGCATAGGTCGAGAGTCTGGCAGCCTTGCCCTGCTCCGGCGCACGGACCATGGCGGCGTTGTGCATGCGATCCAGGTAGAGCCTCTGTGCATCTTAGGGTTTAGGGTTTAGGGTTTAGGGTTTAGACAAAGAGAATTTCCTACAATCGGAGTCCTTCCTGATCTACCCCGAAACCCTAAAGTAGAGGAAGCACCCCAACAGTGTAAGCTTGAACCCATGATTAAGAAGTCTCATGTCTTCTACGAAGGTTTAGGTGGCTTCAAAAAAAGCGGTTTTGGGTTTAGGGTTCTGGGCTTTGGGCTCAGGGTGAGAAGCCCCAAACGATCGCCATGAACCTAAAAACCACCGAAGACCTGTTTACAGGGAAACAGGTTTGGCTTCATCCTACTGACTCTTAGATATTCTTAGTCGGGAATGAGGGAAGTCGATACCTTCTAAACCCCCCACCCTAAACCCTCAACCCTCAACCCTAAACCTCTATACATATACATATATATGTACATATATATATATATATATTCATTTATTGGTTATGTATTTTTCCGTTTATACACACCCCACACCCTTTAAGGGATTCTATAGGGTTTCTTGATTCCCTACTAAGGGCTTCTTCGGAACTTTCCCGACATCGGACTGAGCCAGTGTCGCCCGTGGAAATTGTAGAGTGCTTTCTTAAAATTCGACCCATATGTTGCTGTAGGAAATATTTTCTAGGGTTTAGGGTTCTGGGTTGTTTCCAAATCAACCCCAAAAAGCCTTTCTCAGCAACCCCAGCCCCTACCAACCCGAACGCCTCAACCCTCAACCCTAAGTCAACACAACCCGGACATCCCCCGAGCAAATGAGGGTTTACGAAATGAGGTGCTTAACATAGTCCCCAAATAGTAGGGTTCCCTGCTAATAAGGACTCCGCCCCCTATAAACCCTAAACCCTAAACCCTAAACCGTAAACCCTAAACCCTAAAGCCTAAACCCCCCCAAACACCGAGCCCCGAGCTGCTGGAACTCGGCACGGAGCTGCTTTGGGTTGAAGCGCATGAGGAGCTCGCCTCCCAAGAGCGTAGTTTAGGGTTCCGGGTTCAGGGTTCAGGGTTCAGGGTTCAGGGTTCAGGGTTTAGGGGTTAGGGGTTAGGGCAGTTGCTGAGTTCATAAGCCCCCTCAAAAAGTGCACACTTTTCAGTTCTATAGGGGGGTTTAGGGTTGAGGGTTTAGGGTTAGTATCCCAAACAGAGTAAAGTGTACTAATTCAGCTACTAAGAGAGTGTCAGACAGGGCCTGTTTCATTGGAATGGGTGGCTTGGGCGATGAATCATGCAATTGTCTTGTTGCAAGAGGATACCCTTGGCTCCTGTAGTACAGTGTTTGAGAGGATCAAGGCTTCAGGGGCTGAGGGGATTTGGGGGAGGGTGAAGCTAAAGTGATGGGTCTCGGTGGCTTAGGGGTTGCCTTCGGAGGGGGGGGGGGGGGGGTTTGGAAGTTTAAGCCTCATTCATGCCATCTTTCAGTTGATGTCCTTCATGTCATTCATTTCATTTCATTTCATATCATTCATTTCATGCATTTCATGCATTTCGTGCATTTCGTTCATTTCATTCATTTCATGCATTTCGTTCATTTCATTCATTTCATGCATTTCGTTCATTTCATTCATTTCATGCATTTCATTCATTTCATTTCATTTCATTCACTTCACTCCTTGAAATCATTTCAGTCACTTCTTTCACTTCACTCATTCATGCATAAGGACTTCACAAGCCCCACCTCCAGCTTACCGACTGCCAACTTCTCTAAAGCTCCACTCTATGTGCATCTTTACACATATATACACATTAGGGTTTAGGGTTTAGGGTTTAGGGGTTTAGGGGTTTAGGGTTTAGGGGTTTAGGGTTTAGGGTTTAGGGTTTAGGGTGTAGGGTTTAGGGTTTAGGGTTTAGGGTTGCACCCTCTGCCCACCCTGAAAACCCTAAAACCGAAGCCCGAGATGCCTAAAGCCTATAGCCCGCAAACCCCGACAAGCCCCTTTGAGTCGAACAGGCCCCTAAGGGTTTAGGGTTTAGGGTTTAGGGTTTAGGGTTTAGGGTTTAGGATTTAGGGTCCCTAAAACTTCCAGACCCCAAACCCGAAGAGCGCCGGAAACCCTAAAGCCTTCCTCAACCCGAACCCCTAAACCGTGTAAACCCAACCAAACCCAACACCCAAAACCCAAAACCCAAAACCCAAAACCCAAAACCCTAAAGTCTAGGCATACGCCAGCCGGGCCACAAATCCTCGAGCCCTGGGGGTCTGCAGCGGCGGCTGCAGCCGCGGCAGCGGCGGCGGCCTGCACAGCACTCATCACGGTTGCTTTTCCGGGAGGGTTTAGGGTTTAGGGTTCAGGGTTCAGGGTTTAGGGCTCAGGGTTCACAATTTAGGGTGGTTTTAGGAGTTTAGGGGTTGAGGGGTTTTAGTGGGTTTCGGGGGTTTAGGGGTTTAGGGGTTTAGGGTGTAGGGCTAGGAGGATGGGCTTCGGGCGCTTGGGGCAGTTTCTCTATGCTCCCAAAATAGTATAAGTCTCCTAATCCTTAACAAACTTTAAACCCAACAAGGCGGGGGCGGGGGGCGGCCACCCATGTTTGGGGTCCAGAGCGGATAGGGCCTTACGTTCCCTCAGATTGGGTGGGGTCTGGGGTTTCGGGTCTATTTGGGCTAGCCTAGAGACTGCTGGTTCGGCTGCTTTCACCTCATGGATTTTTTTTGTAGCCCTAAACCCTAAACCCTAAACGCTAAACCCTAAACCCTAAACCCTAAACCCTAAACCCTAAACCCCACAAAAGCCCTGCTTGCCCGCCCCTCCTCCGAGGCTCGGCGCTGCATCGGGGACATCGCGGAGATGAGCTCGTCGAAGCCCTGGAGCCCGCCGGTTTAGGGGGGGTTTGGGGTTTAGGATTTAGGGTTTAGGGTTTAGGGCTTAGGGCTTAGGGCTTAGGGCTTTGGGTTTCACCCTAAACCCTGATTCCTACACCCGAAGATAGAATCCCTAAATCCTAATTAAACCCTAGCCCTAAACCCTAAATTACAATCCCTAAACCCTAAACCCTACACCCTAAACCCTAAACCCTAAACCCCAATAATATGGGTACATGGACACTTAGGCGCACAGCAGAGGCTTGACTCTGAGTGCCTCCTCGTCGATCGAGGCAAGCTCTCCTCTGGCCACCTAAGCAATGTGAAGACATCAGGAAGCCTTTTCCTCAAAGGTCTATACATACATGTGCACATGTACATATATATATATATATACGTACATACAGAGTAGGTAGACATATCGAGGGTTTTTAGGAATTTACGTATTCCCTCGTTCAGCTGCACGACGCGGGCTTCCAGACCCCTACGTTGGAGCAGACCCTGGAAAGGGTGTCCTTCACAGAACCTCGGTACTTGGGATGTTCCCCCCCTGATACTAGCAGTCCCTAATAAGCATAATTTTGATGCCTATAGGTATAAAGTAGCTATAAACGGAACCCAGAACCAAAAAGAGCAATCATGCCTAGTACTCCAAAACTCAGAGACACTATGGTCTTCTCATGCCCCGCTATGAAGCTCCATCGTGGGCCCTGTGAAGATGCTTGCCACGTTGATTTCCTTGGAGTCATGGGTTCAGGTTAGGGTTTAGGGTTTAGGGTTTAGGGTTTAGGGAGTTTTAAGTAGGGTAAGAAGTACGTACCCTAACTAGGGGAACGAATTGTAGTTGCTACCCTACTTATAACCACCTATGAACCTCCAAGTACCCTTTCTTCGAAGACTCTCCCTTTGCATCATCGTGGCTCACAGATGTATGTCTTGCGTCGGTTGTACCCGCGGATGAGGGTTTAGGGTTTAAAACTCTTATTAAGAAGGGTCTATCGGCCAATATGATGCTTCGGCCCAAAACTACCGAACCGGAACTGGACAGGGGCATGCGCAACTTGCAGCCTCAAGCATCTAAGCAACCTGCAAGCGTCAAGGCACCTCACATGAAATCCCGTAAGCGTGCGGTTCTGCAATGCACGTCAACGATGCAGCAGCCGCACATGAGAAAGAACAGCGGTCATAAACCTCGCAAGTAAGCAGTAAACATACCCAGATGAACCTACATAACCCAAAAAGGGAGAAGCCAAGTAGGCATGACGTGTGTCTAGGTTACTCCCAATCCCAAATACCAACTTCCGAAGCGTTGGGTCCGGGGCCCCCGTGGCTTTCTGTGACGAGTGGCCTTGGTTGAGCACACCCCACCGTCCAGAACCCTAAACCCTAAACCCGGCCCTTTGCGAGGAATTCTCCCTGTCGCTATCGAACTTCCTGTTCTGGCGAACCGCTTAAGATCCGGAACCCCAGAAAACCTGAACCCTAAACCCCAATCTCCTTAAACCCTCAACCCTTGAGCCTAAAACCTGCCTTTTCTCACTGGTTCTTAGTAGGGAACTAAAGGGAATGAGGCGCCCCATATGTATATAAATATCAATATCTATATATATATATATATATATAGATCCTTTAAGGCATTATGTAGGGTAGGGTACCTAACTTCCCCCATTCACCCTAAACCCCCAATAAGAGCCAGGGGCTTTTGCAGGGCTTCCAACTCAGCCCGGGGCCCGTTTGCGCTGGGGATGCCTGGCTTTCAAGCAAGCTAGGTCCAGACACGTACTTCTAGGGTTTAGGGTTTAGGGTTTAGGGTTTAGGGTCCAGGATTCAGGATTCAGGGTTTAGGGCGGTGTATTTTGCACCCCCCAACTAGCCCAACATGTCGGGCACTTCTGTACCCTATCTTGAGCCAAATAGACCGTTGACCCAGAATGGGCCGAGTCTTCATGGAGAACACTCCTCGTAGCCCCTGGTCCCTAAACCCTTAACCCTTCATTGCGGCAGCGCGGTAACGTTGACTGGGCTACTGTTGAGAGACTTAAGTTTGCCATCATACGGATGTGGAGAAAGAATCGAGATTTTCTGGCTATGGTAGCTTCAAGTTCCTCATATCCTAGTCCCTAGACATTCAATAAACCCTATAAACGAAAAGAACATGAATACAAAACAAACTTGGTGTCTTAATACATGGTTCCTTAACAGGAGCCCAGTCAATGGCCTCTGGGTGTATGGCCGACCCCTTCCCAAGCGGGTTTTCGGGGCATTTATATGTGCTTCTAAGGGTTTCTGAATTTACGGATTTAGGGGATTTCGGGGAACCTTCGGTAAAAACCTTAGGTCCTAAGGTTCAACCCCTAAGGGCTTAGGGTTTAGGGTTTAGGGTTTAGGATTTAGGGTTTAGGGCTTGGGGTTTGTGGCGGAAACCGCCTCTGCCGCCTGTGCCGAAAGGTTGTGAAGGCACTGTGCTTCCTGGCCGACGCACGTGAACCGTCAAACATATGGGGTTTTGGGTTTAGGGTTTAGGGTTTGGGGTTTAGGGCTTAGGGTTTAGGGTTTAGGGTTTAGGGCTTAGGGTTTAGGGTTTAGGGTTTAGGGTTTGGGGTGACCGAATAAACTCTAAGCCCTGCATTCTTTAATCAAACCTTATGAGCAGGATGATCAAAGGTGCACTCGATTCGGCGCACGACTCAATACCCCAAGGAGTTGCGAGCGGGAATCTGTGAGAGGGTCACCAAACCCAAGGACCTTCGGTGTGCAAGATAGAATCACCTGAAAGATTTACATAAATACAGTGAAGATGAGTGTAACATCACTAGAGAATCACTAGACACATGACTATAAACACACACATATATATATATATATATATAGGTATGTATGTATGTATGTATGTATGTATGTATGTATGTATGTATGTATGCATGTATATGTATATATATATATACATATTATACATAACATGCGCATCAAGCTTCAGAGTTCCTCTAAGCTGCCGACCTTCAACCCTAAGCCGACCCCAGTTGTACGCCCCCTAAACCCTGAACCCTAAAACCCTAAAACCCTAAACCCTAAAACCCTAAAACCCCTAAAACCCTAAAACCCTAAACCCGAAAACCCTAAAACCCTAAAACCCTAAAACCCTAAACCCTTCATAAGTCCATGTAGCCTTGCCTTCAACAGCTTGCTTGAAGACCGTGCGACTGACCGCTTGCACCGTGCCTGCAGCCCCTAAACCCTAATCCCGAAACCCTAAACCCTGAACGCCTGAACCCTGAACCCTGAACCCTGAACCCTAAACCCTAAACCCCGAACCCTGAACCCTTGAACTTAGAATCGCCTCGTCAACGGCGCCCATGAGCACGTGGAAGAACCTTGCATCTCCAACAACCCGGGCTCAGGTTTCGTGTGATAATGGTAAGAACCGTGAGAAAAATTGCATAATGAACGAGCTACGCATATTCGTCTGAACCCCCTAGACCCCTAAACCCCTAAACCCCCTAAACCCTAACCCCTAAACCCTAAACCCTAAACCCGCAGGGAGAATCAAGGAGCACTGTCAGCGTCAGGAAGTCCACAAATCCGGTCTGCGCAGGGGCGGATGGGGGGGGGCATCCGGAGTCTCTTGGGGGTTTTAGGGTTCAGGGTTTAGGGTTTGGGGTTTAGGGTTTAGGGTTTGGTGTTTAGGGTTTGGGGTTTTCGGGTTTGGCTGCTCTTCCAGACTGATCCAAAGTATGACCGAGCTCCAAAAACCCTAAGTGCATTGTGGCTTCGAGGGCTGCAGAACCCCGTGCCAGAGTTGGAGCGAGTGTGGGGGCTTCGGATTTCAAATCGCTAGCTGCTTCTGGTGGCGGTGGCGGTGTTGCTGTTGCTGTTGCTGTTGATGCTGACGATGCTGGTGACTACCGCTGCTTTGATTCAGTAGTACTATTTCATGGTGGTGAACAGTCAATGGAAACAAGAGGTAGTTTTTAACATATTAGCATCATGGAGACCATGGACAACAGCTTTCAGTGGTTATGCTTGTTGTTGTTCTTGGCTGTGGCGGTACGGGCTGCGAGTGCTTGCGCTGCTGATGTCCTTCTGTTGCGATCCTTCTGGCACAACCCGCTTGGCCACATCATCCATCAAGCTCAGGGATTTAGGGTTTAGGGTTTAGGGTTTAGGGTTTAGGGTTTAGGGTTTAGGGCATCCCTCGGCACAACCCTTAATACAGCCATTGGACGCCTGCCATGTTTCAGGGTTCGGCTTGAAGTATGGGACAATGCATCCTAGGGTTTCGAGCTTCGCAGCTTCGGGTTACTTGGAGGATCATGGGAGTTAGTAAGTAGGGTTATAAGTACCCACATTGGGGTTATCAGTAACAAAAACTATAGTTGCCCTAAGTATACCCCTACTTGCTAAGTCCCCTGATCCTTTAAGTAAACCCTAAACCCTAAACCCTAAACCCTGAACCCCAAGATCCTTTAAGCAAAGCCCAATTGGGGCTTCCTGCTGCTGTTTTGCTTCCAGCCGGTGCTGATCCCAGCGAAACTGTGCTGACCTTTTGACTGCCAGGGATGCACCCCATGCAGCCGTAACCCTAAACCCTGAACCCTAAACCCTAAACCCTGAACCCTTTTGCAGCAGGCTTGCGTGAATCCTCACCTGGATGTGTCGCACCTGTTCTCCGAACAAGGCCAGACACAGAACCCTAAACCCTAAACCCTAAACCCTAAACCCTAAACCCTAAACCCTAAACCCAAAAAAGGCCCTCGGCGAATTCAAAACCTGCGCCTCCATTCCTTCCGTCGCCTCCAACCCAACAGCCTCGTCGGCTTTCACTGCGCCAGTCGTGCAAAGCACTGGTGCATCGGCTGAACAGCTAAATATGGGGGTTTACGAAAATAGGGTTTAGGGTTTAGGGCTTAGGGCTTAGGGTTTCGGGTTTACGAAAATAGGGGACCCCTAAAAAGGACCCCAAATAGTAGGATCCCCTTAAAATGAGGACCCCAAAAAGGTACCCCTAAGATCGTAAACAGCTTAATATGGGGGTTTACGAAAATAGGGTTTATTGTTTAGGGTTTAGGATTAACCCCCATATAGCATGTTCTGGGCCAACTCCTTCTGAGAAAAACTCCACAAAGATTCCCAGGCCTAACTGCTTGGAATAACCTGCAGGTTCCTAGGGGCCTAATTCGAGTGGGCATTTCGGCTAGTCCAGGCACACGCTGAACCCTTCAGCTCTTGTCTGGGAGTCCAAGGCTGGCATACCGCATGTCCTCAGGATTCACCCCTGAGGCTCACAAGTGCTCTCCCAAACCTTGGATACCGGGGGCTCTTAAAACTCAACAAGCCCCCCAAATCCCCAAATCCCCTAAACCCTAGAGCCGTCGGGGCCCCCTAAACCCTAAACTAAACCCCAGCACAAGAGCCCTGAACCCTAAACCCTGGACCCTAAGCGCTAAACCCTCTAGACCCTAGACCCTAGACCCTAGGCCCTAGACCCTAGACCCTAAACCCTAAACCCTACAGGCCTCGAAGATCAGACCTTGGAACGCTCAGCTTTTTTCTGCGGACTCACTTGCGCAAGCTCCACCAGCTGCGATAGAAACTGGCCACGGCCTCGGCATGGTTTTTGGGTTTAGGGGTCTAGGGGCCCTAAACCCTGAACCCTGAGCGCTAAACCCTAAACCCTAAACCCTATAGGCCCTAAACCCTAAACCCTAAACCCTAAGCCCTAAACCCTAAGCCCTAAACCCTAAACCCTGTATACCCTACATCCCCTTCACCCTAGAGTAGGCTATGTTAGCAGCATGAACCTCCAAGGAACCCAGAGTTGTGCTTCTTACGGGATGGGGGCGTGGACCCACATTTCGGGCTTTCACTGCGTTTTGCGTAGCTTTGCTCGGTCTGTTGAAGGCGGTGCCGTTCCTGGGATACTGCGGTGATCGTGGTCGGAGTTCTTTGGGGTTTGCGTTGCGCGGTCACACACTCAGACACCTCGTTTCCAAAACCCTGGCACAACCATCATAATGTAGCATCCTGAAAAACTAGAATAGGGTTTCGGTGGGGGTTCTTATAGTATATTGACACAGGGACCATAAAACTAGAGTAGGGTATGGAGGGGGTTCTTATACTTTCATTACAAAGGGGCCATAAGGGAAGATTATTCGCATTTATTCCGACCTATAGTGCTTCTAAGGCCTCCTGGCACCTCCACTCGTGCGCGTAGGAGGCGGGGGGCGCGCGCGCGCGCAAAAGGAGAGAGCAGGCACAAAGTCCCTAAACCCTAAACCCTAAACCCGAAACCCTAAACCCTAGACCCTCAACCCGAAACCCTAAACCCCAAACCCTAAACCCTGGTTTCCACATTGGGCCCCCCCGCGAGACTTCACGAAGACTTCCGCGCGCCGCTTGGCCTCCACGCATCTGCTCGAGTTTAGGGGATCAGAGAGTTTAGGGTTTAGGGTTTAGGGTTTAGGGTTTAGGGTTTAGGGTTTAGGGTTTTTACCTTTAGAACCCAAAACCTACTTTTTTGTAGGTTGTTACTACAAAACCCCTTATAGGATTCATAGGTAACCTACACAAAAGTAGGTTCTGAGTTCTTAAGGTAGGGTCTAGGGTTTGGGGGTGTTAGGAGGCTTACAGGTACGGATTGCAGAACCCTAAACCTAAACCCTAACTCCCTAGATTGAGGCGGTGGGGTTCAGGGTATATCCAGGGCGCCGGGCGAGATCCTCGTGCCATATGTCGCAAGCCCAAAGCACACAACCCTGCCCACGCCCTCGCTCCGTAAACAAAGTTTGCACCAGCTGTAACAATATTCACAACCCCAGAAATTAACTACCTGCGAACCTCCAAAGCACACCAAGCCCTAAACCCCAAAGCCCAAACCCCCCAACCCCCCCCCCCCCCCCCCAAAAAAAAAAAAAAAAAAAGAAGAAGAAGGAACCAAGCTTAAACCCTAAACCCCCAAAAGCCTAGACCCCAAAGACTCCAAAGTGAAAAAGGATCCTCTGGGGTTCTGCCAACAACCATCGGTACTCAAGGAGCCTCGTACCCCTAGGTAAGGAAAAGACGTTAAGTTTCGGTATAGGGATCACATGCAAGCATCAAGGCCTCCGGCATGTTCCTTAATTGAGGGGTAGGTGTTAAGGTTTAGGGTTTAGGGTTCAGGGCTTAGGGTTTCGGGTTCAGGGCTTAAGGTTTATGTCGCTGAGGTTAGTGACTCGTGGAGCTGGGGGAAAAGCGTTCGCCCAGTGCAAAATGGCTTGGGCGTGCCCATTAACCTGTAACCAAGGAACACAGCTTAGTGCATACTAAGAACCCTAAACCCAAAATCCCTGAACCAAAGAACCCTAAGCCCCAATCCCAAAGCTCTGAACCCTAAGATACCTATGCAAAATTCAAGGTGCGCTTTCTGAAGTAAGGGGAATATTGCGCTCTCTGAGTAGTAGTAACTACCCATAAAACTAAACCCTAAACCCTAAACCCTAAACCCTGGGTAGAAAGAGGGTCCCAGGTAAGCCCTCTCAGGCAACCCCGGGGCTGCGAACGTGTGATCGAGGGAGTTAGGGCTGAAGGTCCAGGGTCTTGTTCGAAGCGCAGTAAACCCTAAACCCCAATTCCCAAACCCTAAACCCTAAACCCTAAACCCCTAATTCTAAACCCGAAAAAAAACCTAAACCCTGAGAGCCCTGAACCCTCAACCTTTGAGGCCCGTGGGTTGAAGTCTCCAACTTTCTCCTGCTTGAACATGCTAAAGGATGAAGTCGTCAACAGCTAAATTGTGCTCTACACCCCTTACCCTATAAGGCTCCATGTACCCATATAGTAGATACCTAGGCCTTGAAGGGGTTCCCATAAGGGTACCTTAAGGCCTAGGTATCTACTATAAGGGTACATGGAGCCTTTGGGTTATATCTGTCTACGAGCAGGTTCCCCTCAAAGGGAAAGACAAGGGAACTACACCACCCAGGTAGGCGTGCTGCCTCCTGGCCCAGGGCATGTCTCCTCTGCGGATCGTCCATGAGCCCCTTGACCTTCGGGGCTCAGACTTGGAGAAGTGTACTCTACATTCTTAAACTCTCCGCCCGAACCCCCTGAGCAGGTACTAACCCCCACCCCGCCCCCGCCTCCCCCGCCTCGCACCTCACGCCCCTAAACTAGTTCATGGTTGGGATAGGGTTAGCCATTTAGATATCTATTCCTTATTGAGTGTTAAGTACGCTTAAACATGTAAAATGTTACCCCCCAGTATGACAAAGTAAACGGCTGCACCCTGAGTTGTGATCAGGAGAGGGAAAACTTGAGACGATCTCGGGGCTTCGCCTCGGGGTCGAAGGTAGCATCATACGAGATCCAAACGGAACTGCACTTGACACTTTGGCTTGTTTTCGGGACATCGTCCTCAAAGCATGACGAGACCTGAAAGACCCTAGCTCTAGAGGCCTGGACCCATAGAACGCTTACTATGCGCCCTCGCTCCAAGCCTGCTGAGCAGGACGAGCCCTATCGCTGTAGGATCAGAAAAGGCAAATTTACAGAGGGGGTTTAGGGTTTAGGGTTTGGGGCTTGGGGTTTACGAACAGGCGACCCCTAAAAT